TGCTGTTTCTACTTCTTTATCTGAGAAGCATTTACTCATTTCCTATGCCATTTTTGGACTGGGTCTGTAAATTTGGGAGGTCTTTTTTTTTTTTTTAGTTTTTAAATAGATATTAATCTTTTGAGGAACAAGTGGAAAATTTTTTCCTACTCTATAGGTTGTGTCTTCATTTTGTTGTTGTTTTTGTTTGTTTGTTTGTTTATTTCTGTGAGAAAGCTTTTTGATATGATGAGATCCCAGTGGTTGATTCACTGTGTTATTTTCTGTGATTGTGGTTTTGTTTATAAAGTCTTTGTCTATACCTATGTCATTAAGAATTCTGCCTATTCTCTTTTCCAGCAGATTTAACGTTTCTGTTTTAATATTTAGATCTTTGATTCCTTTTGGTTTTAGTTTAGTACATGATGAAAAATATGGGCCTAGTTTTAATCTTGCATATGGAAAGCCAGTTTTTCCAGTACCATTTAGTAGAGTCTACCTTCCAGTAAAGGAAGAGGCCAGTAAAGATGCCTGGCCTCTTTGTCAATGATAAAATGGTTGAGTTTATTTGGAGTTGTCCCTATACTTCCAATCTGTGACATTGATCTTTGGGTCTGATTTTTGCCAGTATCATGTTATTTTTATCACAGTATCTTTGCATATAATTTCAGATCAGGGATTGTGATGCCCCTCCCTTGCCTTTGTTGCTCAAAATTGTTTTGTTCTATGTCTCTTCGGTTCCTATTGGTGTTTTGACTAAGACAGCTTGTTTTTAGAAATTCTGACTTGTAAAATGTAGTTAGAATCTAAGAATTGCATTTTTCAGCACATATCTCAAGTGATCTCATGCAGGTAGTTAGCAAACCAATGGTAAGAAACACTGAACATAAATTCATGCTTGCATACGTAGGATTTGAATTCTTGCTTTGAGTCTATCACAAATTATCCGGCCAGGGATTTAGCTCAACGGCATAAGCACCTGCCTGCCAAATGCAAGGTCATGAATTCGATCCTCGGTACAAAAAAATATTATTGTATGTGGAAAATCTTTGGGAAGAACAAAAACTTGTGATGCTCAGTCAGGTGCATCCACTCAGGACAAGTTCAAGAAAACAGGCTGACTACACTCACAGGTCCTGGTGACAGGCACAGCAGGCCAGCTGTGCAGCTCACATGGGAAAATATGGGGGTTAGAAAATTCAGAGACAAAAAACAGGCGCTAAGAAAAGAATGAGGTCAGAGCCTTTATGGATTTTTTTAAGGGGAAGAGGGGCAAGGCAGGGTAAACAGTTTAGGACTGGCTTGTTTGAATAGCTTTGGCCAGCTTCGTGCTACACGGTCTATATTTGCCTGGCCCTGGTGCTGGGAGGATTAAGGCAGAGGAACATGTCTCTGGGGGATGCTTGAGCTCTGGACTGGGTAATATGTGTATCCGTGCCAAGAAGATTTTGCTATCTCTAAGAACTGACTTACCTGGAGGCCAGTAGTCTCTCCCTAGCCAAAAAGAGGTTTTCAGATGTCTAAACATCCAACAAAAAAGTAATGTGCATACTCATATGTATGTATATTCATACCATTCGTTGGTGCATAGTGGGGGCTTGATGCAGTTTGATTTGAATGTGTGAATGTGGAGCATCAAGGGGCAGGGAAGGGATGGCATTTCTCTAAGCGTTAATGATCCAGGGTTCCTTTTGGGGAACAGTGACGACCTCAAACACCAAAAGTTAGCAACTATCTGTTCCCTCCTTTCCTTGAGTCCCATGGAAAAGACTAACTTGCAAACAACCACTTCTGAGTTTGTTCCTATCATTGTCAATCATTCTGTCTAAAAACAGATTGGCTGAAAATATAAATAGATTCAAGGAGGATTTAGGTATGTTCAGGATGATATATCCTGCACAGTGAGGGATGTGAGCACACTGTCTTTACCTTTGGCTGAATGTGATTGTGAGGCTGACCTGCTGGTCACCTGCCCCACTTTCTCACTGACCTTAACCTTGTATGGAAGTGTAATGCACCCAGCTGAAAGTCTACTGCTCTTGTGAGCACCTCCTGTAGACAGTTCGTCCCTTGACATGTGTAGCGAAGTTTCTGGGTTAGGCCTTCAGGAGAACACCTGCCTGAGCCATTTACCCTTAATATTTGTAAGCCACTATTTGACAGTTATGTTGTTTGTAACTGGGACAGTTCTTGATTCAGACACCCCAGGTTTTCTCATAAACATTTTTGATGCCATGACTAGCAGAAAAATATGACTTTTTACACTAGGAATTTGCTGTACCAAATGACAGTTTGAGATTGTTAGAGAAAAAGACTATTTTGTGATTTTTCTTATGGCCGCTAAAATAACATTGTTCTCTTGCTGTGTTGATTATTATTTAAACTAAATTTTGTTTAACAAAAAACTGCTAATGAAATTGCACAATATCTTACATAAATCCAAGCACAAATGTCTTATGACTTCAGAAAATATATAGCACCTATCCAACACAGAACAGAAATTATTTTATTGCAAATATGGGGTCTAAAATGGGCCACTGCAGTTGACAATTTCAGGAAATACCTCTTGCCAAATTAACTTTCAGAAAGTTTCAAGGCCAAAATGGTGGTGTAACTAATATGGGACTAGCTAAAGAGCACAATTTATCTCACCAAATCACTGGGTCATATCAATCTGGATGGTCAGTGAAGACTGATGAACCGCACTCCTATAAACAGGCTTTATAATAACAAAGTGGGGACTTTGTTAATGTAAAGTACCTGGTGGGTGTCAGCCTTTTTCGTCTTCCTAAGCAGGTGAGATCATTCTTACCAGCATGTCCACAAACAATTTCACATTACTCTGGAAACAATATTATGCAATTTAGAAGGGCATTAAAATCATCTCCGCAGACACTGAACAGGATTTGATTCCAGCTCTGACTATAAAACCACAGAAAAATAAATTTTACCTGACACTTGGGTGTATACAGTGTCTCAGTAATAGAAATGAATGAACTTTACACTAAATGTTTCACATGTAGAAAATTGAATCTGAATCTTTTGATAAACTATGTCTTCAAAGATGCAATACCCTTTTTACTCTCCTAATTGTTATTTTGATGCAATAAATCTCTTATCTGGAAACAAGGCAAATATAACTGCATGGCATGTGTATGCCATGTGTTTTAGAAGATCCATAAAAATGTTTCATTTATGGTTTGATGAAAGGCACAACAGTCTTCCAAGAACATTAATCATTAATTTTGGAAATTTAGATTTCATATGCAACTTAGCACTGGAATAGTGCTTGTTAAATATCAGTCAAAGAAATACTCATTTAGAGGCTGGGAGTATAATTCAGTGGTACAGCACTTCACCGGCATGTAGGAAGCCCTGGGTTCAATCTCCAGTACTGCAAAGGAAAAAAACGTTCATTCAATAACTAGTAGGCACCTACAGCGATAGAATTTATCACTTCCTTAGATAATTGGCATTCATATGTAATAATGTGAATGATACTCAACAAAAATAAATGCGTTATATGTTAAGGTTTTTAAAATCAAAATAATTAAGAAAAAAAGTTTTAGGTTCAAGAAGTATAATCTAAGTAAAAGAAAATCATCCAAACTTTCCTCATCTACAAATGTCTCTGAAATTTTGGTTAAGGCTTGTTAAATTGAAAATAACTTAAATGCACTAAAACTAACTTAATTAAATTTGTGCATATTAGCACAGGAAGTAAGCTGGGCCTACAAAAGAATTAGATCAGGAACTATAAAGCTAGCAGAATCAGTTATTTCTCCATCTCTCTGGATTTACATGGTCTCTTGTTTCTGCTTTTGCCTATGTTGTCTGTATCATTTTATCTTTCCCTTTCTGAATATTCGTTTTATTTCGACACATGAAGGCCCAATTTTTCATAAGCCTGGCACAGAAGTTTAGCAAGATCTAGTGAGCATTTCAGAATTCTACTTCCAAATTCTAGGAAAAGAAGTTGGATTGGTTCAGCCTGGGTTGGGTGACTAGCACTGATTCAATCAGCTTTAACAATGGGGAAGAATTACCAAACAAAATTATGCCATAGGAGCCCACCCCTATGGATTGAGAGCTATGGTTGGGATTCTAAGAGATGGGGAGTGTCTTAGTTATTTTTCTCATTGCTGGGACAAAATAAAAAGGAAAAGTTCATTTAGCTCACATTTTGTAGAGGTTTCAGTCCACAGTCAGCTGGCTCTAAGGCAGGGTGCCATGGCAAATGGGCAACACAGAGGATAAATAGTCCACGACAGGGTGGTCAGGAGGCAGCAAAACAGCAGTAGCAAATTCCCTTCCAGGCTACAAGTCTTTTGGGTGATGCTACCCACATTCAGAGTAGGCCTGCCCGTTACCCACGCTCAGAACCATGATAACTAATGGACTAATCCAGCATCACACACCCTTAATCTCAGTATTGCAGACCAGTGATCCAGTTGCCTCTCAAAAATCCCACCAGTGAGTATTTGAGGCTCTGGGGGCAACATCTAGATACAAAATGTGACAGAGAGCAAGAGTTGGGCAGACACTTCCAAGTTTTTTCTACACTTGAACTGAAGACAAAATGTTTTCAGGCCTGAAGCTGTGGTACATACTTGTAACTCCAGAAATCTGAAAGGATGAGACAAGAGGAAAACAAGCTTGAGCCCAGTCCAGGCAACTTAGCAACTCAGACACAGTCTCAAAATAAAAAGTAAAAAGGGGAAGGGGATGTCACTCGGTGAAAAGGCCCCGAGTTCAATCCCCAGTTTCCTCCCCCTCCCAGAAAGTGTGATCAGTTATGAGTTTTACTACAAAGGTAACAGTCAGTCCTGAACCTCAGGGAAATTGTGGATTGACTGTGTCAACTTGAAAAGTGCAGAAGTTTATCTAATCAACTCAGCACCTCTACACCCTCAGGTGTGGAAGATCCACTCTAGGTTGGCTCATCTTCTGGCTGAAATAAAGGGGAAATAAAGGATGGATCAGATTCTGTTCCTCAGAGAAATACCAGTGTTTGCTTTCACCTTGGATATCACCTCCTGGCTTCCAACGCAGACTCTTCAGAGTCTTCTGCATAGACGCTTTGGCTTCTGCCATGGATCCTTCAGTTTTTCATTGTAGACTCATCAGTCTTCTACTGCAGACCCATCAGCCTCCTGATATGGATTTGCACAGACACTGTAGTGAACTCCGGACCTAGAATTGAAATTCTTGGTCTCTAATGTGCAGACGGCCTCTGCACTGAGTGACCATTGGAAGCTAATCTTGTAATTTCTTACACATTTGTATATCTTGTGTTATATCTGTTTCTCTAGTAGAATGCTGACTGATACACTCACTCAGCTTTGCAGAAAATCTACCAGAACTAATGCATTTCTCTCTCTTAACCGAAGTAAAGTTAACAATGTTTTCTAAACCCTACTTCATCCTCTAAGGCAAAATGATTTCACTGAACAGACCAGAAACATCTGACCCTTTTTAAAAAGGGTTTAATAAGAGGTATGCATTCACATGCAGCTTTAGCTGTGTTCCATTTAATTCCATGTACTTTCTACATGAGAATTTCTTTGTGTATTTTCATAGCTCTTCAGCCTGATTTTTTTCCTAAAACACATCACCCCATACATTTATGAGTGCCTTGTACATGATTTACATGATGGCATTGGCTTTGAAATCTATCATTGCTACAGTCTTAGTTACTTTTCTCATTACTGACACCCAACACCCAACACCCAAAGTTAAAGAAGGGAAATTTATTTAGCTCACAGCTTGTAGAGGTTTCACTACATAATCCACTAGCTTCAAGGCAGGGTAGCACAGCAGACAGGCATCAAGAGAAGAAATAGTTCATGTTGGGTAGAAGGTAGCAAAAGCAAAGAGAAAACCACAGTTCTTTCTAACCCTTATATCTTATCCAGGACACTTAGGGTTGGCCACACTCACACCCTTTAATCCCAGTGCCCTGGAGACCAGCACTGCATCATTAATCAATCCCAGTGTCACCCACTCTAGACTCACCCACTTCTGAAAATGCCCCACCTATGACCACATGAGGCATTGGGAGGACATCTAAACACAGGACATAGAAACTACCATAACGTCATACAATCCTCAAAACATTTCCTCAGTTAGAATCAAAAGCAAAAACATGTCAACTTCCCCATCTTTCCATATTCCATGTATTTCATGGTTTCCAGTATTATTTTCCAGAACCAACTCTTTGCCTTGTCTGAACCCCTATCACACAGTTGATTCAAGACAGCTCTCACCCTGACAAAAAGCAACACAGTTTCACTTTAAGCCTTCTTCCTATTTAGGAAATGATGTCAAACCTTTACCTCATTGTTCCAATTCTTATTATCTCATGTAAACTTATCTCAGTGACAAATTATAAAGCTGATGAATATGTAAAAGGTATGTGTCAATGCAGTGTATTAATACACGTTACTTCCTAGATTCAGAAACTAAATTTCCATCAAACTATGTTTTCCAGACTAAAACAATATTTGCCCTAATGATGTGACCCCACTTATGGTTTCAGATTTTCTCAGTGGAAATAATAACCTTCTCAGAATAAAATCAACTTGAGTTTGCGTGTGTTTGTTAAGAATACTATTTATCTGGCTCTTAGAAAATATTTTTTTTCAAAACACACCTGCAAAGGAGATCTTACTTACCGTAACTCTACGAATGAAGCAATAATAATGATGGTGCTGATGCTGCTGATGAAAGATTATTTATTCCACTTCAAATAGGAACAGACTGAGGCCTGAATAACTAGCACTCTAATTTGGTCACAACGTTCCAAAGAAACTTGGCCAGAAGTGTAAAATGAAGATGTGTATCACATGGCTTCCTAATACCTCATGAAGCACTAACATCTCATTTTAATTAATCAAGTTAATTAATTAAATTTTATCAACACAAGATATAACTAAGTGGTAAGCCCAAAGTTCTTAGCCACTTTGATAAGGAGTGAGATGGAACAAAAGTAAGATGCTATAATCCCAGACAGCTTGAGGTTGTGGAATTAAATGTTCTGTTTCTAAGGTTATGACAATATCCAGAGTGAATTATAGAAGATAATGTAAATTATTCTAAAGGTGAAGTTCAACTTCTATTGGCAGAATCTTAGCAACAAGTGGAATATTTGAAGTAGAACAAAAAAAGTTTATCTTTCAAGCTGTAAAATGGTCATGTTGAAACATTCCATCCATTTTCCATCCTAGTCACCCAAATAAAGCTACAAATGCAGGTGGACTTGGAGCAATTTTTCAAATTGCTTTTTACTCAAGAAGTATAATTTTCACAAATAGCCCTTTTCGGATCATGGCTTGTTGCCTGTGCCAGATGCAAAACATAAGCTCAGCTCAGGGCTGCTGAAATCTGTCCCTAAGTATGTCCTTGAGCTGCAGTGGGAGCCTATCCAGACTAAGACACTGGGGTCTAAGCACACAGGGGCACTGAGCCTCTCAACTCAGGAAGCCTTTCAGAGGTAACTTATTTCCCTAGTTCAGTTTGACTTTGGCACAGCTGACCAAATCTTTAACCACCTTGGACCATGCTCTGTTCCTGAGAGCAGCCCAAATCCACACTTGGAATTTAAATAATCTGCTGGAGATTTTTTTAAAGCATGAATTTATGACTGGTCATTTTGTCCACACATGGTGTCTTTTTTAGAAAGGAAAACAGTTTTATTGAAATAGAACTTTGCACCACTTCAAAAAGAAACCAGCCACCCATTAACAATCACTCTGCATCCACACCAACCCCAGCCCCACAAAACAACTAATCTTTATGTCACTATAGATTCGCCTATTCTGGAATTACATACAGACAAGATCATGCAACATAGTCATTTACAACTGGCTCTTGAATTAGCATAATGATTTCATGGTTCTCCCATGCTGTAGCATGTATCCCTACTAAGTTCTTTTTTATTGTTGAATAATAATCATGGTTTAGGTGTATCACACTTTGTTTACCCATTCATCAGTGGAAGGACATGCAGGATATTTTTACTTTTGAGCTCTAGTGAATAATGCCACTATGAACTTTCACATGTATGTCTTCGTATGAACATGATCTTTTCATTTATCATGGACAGGTAACGAGTAGAATTTCTGGGTTATATGCTGAGTTTGAGGACTCATCAAATGTTCCTCACAGCACCTACAACACTTTCCACCTTGTGCTATCTGAGAGTTCTAGTGTCTCCACATCTCTACAAACATTTGTTACTGTTTGTATTGTCTATGGTATTTTGATACAAATAGCAGGTGTCTCCCGGTCGGCACTTCCATGACATTTCGATGGATCTGAAAGGTGACTGTTCATCTCTGGTAGCTTCTCTTTGAATATTCCTAAACTGCCTGTTCCATATACCCTAAGCAGACATCCTAAATATTATTTTTAGTGATTTTTGCATGATGTTGTAGTATTTAATTTCGTTCAAGTAGCCAGGTTTTAACCAATGACTATCTGCTTGGTCTCCTCTCTAGAGCCTCAGAACTCACAGATCTAAGTATCTCCCTAGAATTTATGTCTACCTCCCATTATGGAGCAGATTTTGAGTGGCAGCAGCAGCAGTGACCAGAAGAGTCACACCAGTGGACCACTGCCCCAGCCTACGGTATATTTCCTTACTGATGAGGCACAGTGACCACTAGGTAGTTCCCCATGTAAAGTGTCCTCTGAGAAGAGACACAGTGGAAGGCAGAACCAGAAGGACAAGGTCTCCAAAGAAGGTAGCCACAAATGATGGTAACAGCAATAAAAAGATGACTTTTTCTCATTTGGAGGAGGAAAAAAAACCTTTCTCTGAACTCTACATAAGTGATCAAAATCTCATCCCAGAAGCTTAAGCCCGGGATAGAATTAGAGCCTCCAGTGGGCTGCTCCAAGGATGGGAGAAATTGAGTAGATCTGAGCCAACATTCCACGTGGGATTCAACCCTGTTGAAGCTTAGAAGACCAAGTCCTCAAAGGATAGATGTAAGACCTTAAGTGGGCAGAGCCAAGAGTCAGAAGCCAGAGCAAGATTAGACTGAACAAATCCCTGGTGACGACTTCAAGCATTAAAAGCACAACACATCCATCCATTGGTAGGTAAAAGCCTAGAATGAGGGATGACACACAATAGGAGTGGAGAGTCCCTGCTCTACCCTATTTCTAGGGTGATTTCTGGCAAGACCTTTCTGGGGCACAGAGGCACTATGGACTAAACTTTTCCCAAGCCTGGCATATTCCTTATACAGAGTGGGCCCGGCTCTTGGTTCTTTCTGGAAAGAGTTGCAAAATGACATCTGAAAGGCAAGAAAGGAGAGTTCTCAAATTATGGATGGCCAGGGTTGTGGGTCAGTATGAGTTCAGGGTTGTGGTACCGTTTATCTTCTGAATTATCCATCAGAGTGATGGACCTAAAATTAGGGAGTTTGTCATTTGCAAGATTTGCTAACTCATACACACATGCCCTGAATGTGCGCGTGCGCACACATACACACACACACACACACACACACACACACACACACACACTCGGGAACTTAGTTATAAACATCCACATCAATCAACAGTTACCACAGACTGCATACATCCACATATATGCCTAGGGTTGCACTAGGAAAAAACTGATCTTGACCCATTTGAATGAGACCTGCAGGAAGATTGTTTTTCACCAAGAGACAAACGGAGGAAGGCAACATTGTTCTCCCTCATGCTGGGGAGGATTCAGATACCAAAGCTATCTCTGTGGGCTGGAAACCTCAGGAGATCACGTTCTCTGGCCAAACTCAAAGTATTTCCGGGTGTGAGCTGGCCCTAAACAAGGCCAGAAGTGCCGTGCAGCTCCTGGTATTTTGATATTTCCAGCAATTAGTAGTGTTGAAAAGTCTTTGGAGTTTGTGCAGTGATTTTATAAAAGAAACAAATTCTTAAGAGGGGGTGGGAAGGCAAGCAAGATTTCCCCTTCATTTCAAGAAAAAGATCCGTTTTATATTGTGTCTGTTCTGGCACACAGGAGAATGACAGAAGGCTGCTGCCTCTCGGGCCAAGCTGTGGGTCTCATTTCTATCCTCTGTCAATGATGTCGTTTCAAGTTTTCAGACAGACTTAAAATCATTAGCTGGTAATCTTGATGGGGGCAGAGGCTCTCCAAGGGGCCTCCTGGTGCTGAGAGGAGGCAGCTCGGGGACACA